TGAGTAGCTGGGATTACAGGTGCCTGCCACCACGCCCAGCTAATTTTTGTATTTTTAGTAGAGACAGAGTTTCACCATGTTGGCCAGGATGGTCTCCAACTCCTGACCTCAAGTGATCCATGCGCCTTGGCCTCCCAAAGTGCTGGGATTACAGGCGTGAGCCACCGCGACCCCGCCACATTGCAGTTTTCCTATAGCTATGCTGGCCTCTTTGGGGCTGGGAGAGCTGTCTGGAGCCTGGTCTCTTCTCACTGTTTTCTGAAATGTGGACTGACCTTAATGAGAGAGTACCTTGGATCTGTGTCTGATGAAATTGTTTCACGGGGCTTCTCCTACAGCCATCCCCAACTGAATGACTGATTTGCTTCTTTCTGTTCTGTTGTGTTCTCTTTCCCTTCCTCTCTCATCTAGCCCCTTTTCCCTTCATCTTTTCACATCGGGGTCACACTTTCTCAGACTTCTCCTCAAACTAGGAATTGGTTTCACGGTTGAGTAAAGTTTATGTGAAATATAAAGCCACTAACATGTTTTATATATAAAAAAGTCACTTCTGACTGAAATTAAGCACAAGACAGAAAACAGGGCACAACATAATAAACTTGAAATAATCTAGAAGATTTTCCTACTTGTCCATTTTGTGTACTTAACACATCTTGGGCCCAGAATCTCTCAGTGGCTGTTATTAGAAACTGATGTAATTTATGTGAGGGATTGTGCCTGAAAGGGATAAACTGGTCAAAAAAATTAATAATAACTGCAAACAATTGATTTACATGTTGGTTTTCGTAGTTTACTTTCTTCAAAGAAACACTTACGGAATCTTCTTTTGACAACTCCATCAGCCCATCTGCCAGAGCTTGTGCGATCTCTTGGTTGTTCAGAAAGTTGCTCATACCCATGGTGTCAAACATAAACTGCCCTGTCAATAGAAGGCCACATGCCCTGTCATCGATTTATGGAAGAAATGTGTTTTAAAAACAACAACAACTCGGTACTCTGTTGCCCAGTGGCAAAATGATAGCTCACTGCAGCCTTGATTCGCTGAGCTCAAGTGATCCTCCCACCTCAGCTGCTCAAGTAACTGGAACTACAGGCATGCACCACCATGCCTGCTTAATTTTT